CGGGAGACATTGGGATGACACTGAATAGCGAAGGAAAAAGACCTGTTAACACACTATGCTTCGAAAATGAACATTCTCAGAATTACAAAGACTGAGAATTTGTTGCCAGCAGACAGACCTGCCTTACGAGAGATAGGACATGAAAGCCTTGAAGCTGAAAGGATTGACTGATACCAAACGATAACACCAATCCACGGGAAGAAAACAGTAAATCTATGAGTAAAGATAGAAGAGTGTGTAAAATGCTTTTTCTCATTTCTTCTCTTAAGTCCTTTAAAAGACAAAAGATGGTGAAAAGAAATAATTACTGCACTGTATTGTTATGCATAGGTTATAAAATATACAACCGCAGCAACACAGAGGGAAAGGCAAAGAGAACAGTCGGGAGCCAAGTGTTTAATTCCTTGGAATTAAGTTTTATTCTGAAGTAGACTCCGTTAAGATGAACACTATAATACCTCGAGCAGACTAAGAAATAACTATGAAAAAAGTGAAAATTTCTACAGAGGAATCAAAATGGCACACGTATTTGTTTCACACAATTAAGTCAGGCAGCTCAGGGGAAGAAGACCCACACCGATGAGAAAGAGAGGAAACAAATTGCAAAATGGCAGATGTAAAAGGCAGATATGTCAGAGTCTATAAAAGACCAACACCCAACCATGTGCTATGTAGACGGACAGACTGTAGATTGACAGACACAAACAGAAAGCATGGAAAAAGCTACGCCATGTCAACAGGAGTCATGAGAGAGGCAGTAAACAGGACTGTGGTGTCGACATGAGGACAGGGAACGAGATCAATGAAGAAAATTAAAGTCCTTTTATTTTCATTGACTTTTGATAAAGGTTTCAACACAAATCAGTCAAGGGAGTGACACAATTAGATATCTATAGGAACTTAAGACTCTTACCTCACACCTTACAAAAACATTGGTATGGGATTGGGCCAGAGACCTAAACTATAAAACTTCTAAGAAAAAAAGTAGGAAAAAAATCTTTGTGACCCTGTATTAGGCAAAGAGTTCTTATGATACAACACAAAAAGCATAAGCCATAAAATAATAAAATGAACTTCATTAAAATTAAAAACATTAACACTTCGTCCTAACCAGTTTGGCTCAGTGGAGAGAGAGTCAGCCTGCGGACTCAAGGGTCCCAGGTTCGATTCCGGTCAAGGGCATGTACCTTGGTTGCAGGCACATCCCCAGGAGGGAATGTGCAGGAGGCAGCAGATCAATGTTTCTCTCTCTGTATCCCTCTCCCTTCCTCTCTGTAAAAAAATCAATAAAATATATTAAAAAACATTAACACTTCAAAAGACCAATAAGAAGATGAAAAGACACATACAGACTGGGAGAAAATATTTATAAATGATGTATCTGATAAAGTTTTTGTCTCCAAAATAAAGAACTCTTACAACTCAATAAGACAAACTAAAAAAATGAGCAAAAGGCTTAAGCAGACAATTCATCAGAGAAAACATGAATGGCTAAAAAGCCCATGAAAAAGTGATCAACAGAAAAACATCATTAGGGAAATGCAAATTAAAACTATGAAATACCACTACACACCCACGAGAACGGCTGTAATCCAAAAGACAGATAACACAATATTATTTCATCAATGCTTTGGTCATTCAGAGCATGCCCTCGCCTCACTCCTCTCTCTGCAGCCTCTCTCCCACTATCTCTGCAGACACTTGGTACAGACACGTGTAGGACAATAGGGAGTGGTGGGGATTGGAGGGTGCTTGCTCTGTTGAAAAGGGCAGACAGCTCATCCTGAGATACTTGAAGCCTATGGGAAGGGAGACCCAGTGGCCACAGCTCTACCGATCTTCCAAGAGGAGCTGGAATGTAAATTTTAAATGTAAAATCACCCTAATTTTTAAAGCCTAGGGGAAAAAAAAAAGAAAAAATATTTGTGAGGAAACTGGAACTTCATACACTACTGGAGGGAATGTAAAATGGTACAGACATTTTAGGAAACACTTTGTAAGTTTCCTAAAAAAGTTAAACATTATTTGCCATATAACCAAACATTCCTCTCCTAGGAATCAACTCAAAAGAAATGAAAGCACAGGTCCACACAAGACTGTTCGTAACAGCGTAGACTGGAAACAATCCCACTGTCCCTCAATGGTGGCTGGGTAAGCAAGATGTGGTGTGTGTACACAATGGAAAACCATTCAGTATTCAAATACTGACAGAGGCTATAATGCAGACGACCCTCAAAAACATTACGCTAAATAAAAGGAACTAGATGCAAATATTACGTTTTTATATATACAGCATGTCTATAATGTTATAAATACTGTACATATAGAATTATATAACCGAATACTGATCTTATATAGGCACACACACATACATACAAATTGTATGTATGTGACTGTATTTATATGAAATATCCAGAAAAGGCAAATTTGCGAGTGAAAGCAGACCAGTGCTGTCAGGGGCTGGGGGCAAGGGCTGCACAATGGCTGTAGGATTTTTCCAGGTGATGGGAGTTTCTAAAACTGGATTATGGCAGAGCTCTAAAAATGTACTAAAATTGTTAAATTGTACATTCACAATGGAAAAGCAAATAGCAACTTTTATGGATAAAGACTTCAATAAAGCTGTTTCTAAAAAGCCATGGTATTCACTCTAATACAAAGAACTGACTCAGTTTAATTGAAAACATTACAAACCTACCAATTAAATCTGTTCTATTTAAGCACCATTAAACATTTGGGGAAAAAACTCAAGAGAAAAATTCTAGCTAATCTATTATTACGAAATCTGCTTGGATAATCTAGCCAATTGCTTCAAGAAATAGGCCACGTTAACACGTCAATTAGTGTAATCTGAGCAGCACCAGCCCCGGCTGAACTGATAAGAAGACAATACCTTCTACCTCTGAAAGCGAGTTTTCACTTTGATTTCACCTGTAGGTCCTTGACTTTGATACTCAGACGGAAGAAAACTCAACATACAAATAACACTTTTAAATGCAGTAAAACAAATTTGCAAATAATTTTTGTTGAAATAGTACAAATAAAGAGGATATAATGCAGGACTTAATTTTAGAGCTGCACTGACGACGTGTCATCTCTAAGTTTTGTTTTCACTGAACCAGGGAGGTACATGCATTTCATTGAGAGAAACCTCTGACTCAAACACTAAAAAGCTTTCTGTGCAAAACCCCCATGGTCTGCAGTTATGATATTTTGCTGTTTGCTATTCCATCCCAGGAACAATGCAGTTCCTGTGCTGAGTTATTGTTCCTCTCTTCATGCGACATATAACACGGCACTCACCCTGCTTTCTTCCAGGCTATCGAATGGACCTGGTGGATCGTCCAGACAAAGAAACTCTCTCACCGCCAGGCTTTTCAAAGGGAAAAGAAAATTAGCTGGGGTACAAGTAAGTTTACCAAAGACTGCAAAAAGCAAGTTACTTTGAAGCTATACAGTGTTTTAAGCAAGTTGGCTGCTGATATACCAAAATAAACGAGCTGGGTTATGTGGCTTCATGCAAGTAGCATGCAAATATAAACATAAAATATATAGAAGATGCAGGGCTTTTAAACTATTTTCTAAGATCTTATGAACATAGAGATGGAGAATTTATGCTACCTAAAAACTATAGGACATAAAACATAATTCGGAATAACACTAAAGGGACCAGTCTAAGTGGTGAATAGATAAGAGATGATATCTTTTCAAAGGAATGTCAGCTTGAAGTAGTCTAAAAATGGCACTATCCTGCTATGGAGAAATACTATTTCTAACTTATGCTCCATTTGTTTCTTTTTTAGGAGATACAGCTAAAGTAACATCTAAAGTATTTGTTCTGAAAAAAATTAAGAATTTTCTTGCAATCTTTTTTGTTATATTACTTTACTTAAAATATTTTTTCTTAAAGAGTTCAAGGGGAAAGTTCTGACCATGCCATTGCTGAATTACCATAACTTTTGAAATAATGAAATATGGTATTGTTATGTTTATACTCTGGAATTATCAGAAATAGGTTAAGAGTGTAGGAAATTAAGCTCCCTTTTTACAAAAGTAGTCCATTTTTGCCGAACCGGTCTGGCTCAGTGGATAGAGCGTCGGCCTGCGGACTCCAGAGGCCCAGGTTCGATTCCAGTCAAGGGCATGTATGTTGGTTGCGGGCACATGCCCACTGGGGGGCGTGCAGGAGGCAGCTGATCGATCTCTCTCATCGATGTTTCTAACTCTCTATCCCTCTCCCTTCTTCTCTGTAAAAAAATCAATAAAAAAAAAAATAGTCCACTTTCTAAAAGCAACTTTGGACAGACACAACTCTGTGCATGTTAAAACATAAATGTGGATATTTACCTTTTAAGGCATAAGGGACAGGAATGTAATTTCTAATGCACTTTATAAAGGAGACGCTGATCTTTGCTGAAAAGGGAATGGGGACTTTGAGTCCAGTTCAGGCCAGATAGGTTGATTACGACAGGGGATGGCCATGAAGAGAAAAATGGAATTTTCAGTGAAATGTTCCCTAAGAAAAATAACCTGAATTAATATAGAGGAGCAGTGTCAAGAAAGCAATCCAGATCTGAAAGAAGAGCACATTTCTGGGCTGTAAAATCTTGACAATATAAGTAATAAAACACACACACAGTCAAGGACACACAGGAAACTGGAGTACCCATACCCAGGGAAGAACAGAGGTGGAAGGGATCCTAATGTGGTGGAGCTTTAAGCATCCATGGCTTTTCATCCCTTTAACGTGTTCGGCCAAGAAACACCTCCCGAAATGGGGGCTATTCCGCCCTGTGTTTGAACTGCTGAAACTTATCCCTTCCCTGAGCTGGGACTTTCCTCCTGGCAGCTTCTATTCATGAGTCAGTTCTGCTTTTTGGAACCATTCGAGATAAATCTAAGTCCTTCTTCATATGATAACCCTAAAATATGTCAACAATGTTATATTTCCTCTAGCCTCACGTCTTCTCCACGAAGCAATACTGATACACTAACATTTCCTTTCCTTATCACAAACTTAATCGACTACTTAAAGCTTACAGGGTCTCTGCATTCATGAAGCCAACATTTTTTCCAGATTTACTGAGGTATAATTACAAATGCACACATTTAACATGTACAGCTTGATTTGATATATGCATATGCTGTGAACGGCAATCAAGCTAATTAACATTTACATTATTTCACATTCTCAAAGTACGTTGTACACACAGGGCAACATATTCAATTTTATTTAATTTTCACAGCAATCATGTACAGTGAGGATGGGCACTATTTCCAATTTTACAAACGATACCAAAGTCCAGAGAGGCAAAATGACTCCTCAAGGTCACACAGCACAGCCTGGTAGAGGCAGCTCTTAAATCTCTTCCAAGTATAAACATGTGCCTTTTTCTACCTTTCAATTCTCTTCCCTCCTATTTTGGTTCATTTGGATTCTCTCCCCTTGCCAGGCACCTCCCTCAGCACACTCAACCTGCCTGTGCCACTCGCTGATGGAGGTTTCTGGAACACTGCTGGTGATCTGATAGCACAGAGAAGGGGACCACCTTTGTTCTTTTGGTTTGGATGTTATACTTCCCACCTACCCATTATTTATATCGGAAAACCATCCATTAGGCAGAAATGAGCTACAGGAAACAAATTATCTCGAGATTGAGAAGTCAAAAGTTTGGATGAAACCGTGAGATAATGGCTTTTAAGATTGAAAAACAAAGTGCTGAGCAGCGTGGGGAAGGGCCTTTTTAATACTTTCCGTGTTTGACAACCTAACATGAGACATTATTTTTTCATGGGCTCAGACCCTGGATGCCCTCATCCTTAGTAACAGTTTTATGTTCACAAATTACTCTGATCACTGGAAGCTGCTGCTGGAAAAGAAAATGTGAGTAAGGGAACTCATGTCTTTTTATGCCTTTAGTTTATAGTAGCAATTCAGCCACGGTCAGCAGAGATGCCAACAGGGACCTGGCTATAGGAGTCTGTTTTTGGAGAGGCTTTTCCATTTCACTCTCCTTCCTAAAAATCCTCATGACCTGGGGCTCAGCAGAGCTCTACTCAGATGAAACCCAGTGGGCTCCCTAAGTTTTTTTTTTTAAACATCACCCGAGGATAAGTTTATTGATATTTTAAAGAGAGAAAGGAAGGAAGGAAAGAAAAGGAGAGAGAGAGATGGAGGGAGGGAGGGAGGGAGGAAGGGAGGGAGGAAGGATGGATGGACGGAAACACTCCAAACAACTGAGCCACCCGGCCAGGGCTATGGGGCTAAGTTTTTTTCCAGTATAGTTCTGAGTTCTATTCCATGCCCTGCTTTCTTTAATCTGCAGCATTAAGGATGAAATTTAAACTGGTTTTGCAACTCTGACTTAGAAAACACTTTTCAGTGGCTCATATACATTCCTTCTGCTTCAAAGGCCTGGGAGAGGCGCGTTGTCCTCCCAGCTGGGCCTGCCAAGCAGGGGGACGGGCGCTCCCGGAGGCCGTGCTGGGGGAGCGAGTTCCTCCTCAAAATCCCGATGCCGTCTCCCTGGAGAAGGCGCCCTCGCCCTGCGTGCTGACTGGAGAAGCTTTAGACCTGACAGGTGTCTGACTGCCACATGCCCGGTTCTGCTCAGTGACTTCCCGTATGTTATCAATGTGTGCTTTATAAATAAGTGAAGTGAGTTCAAATCAAATATACCAGCGTCTATGTTATCATAGAGTCTATGGCTTAAACAGAAGTCATTTTATTTATTTTTAATAGAAATCATTAAAAAAAAAAGGTCTTATACTTTTTAAAAAAATTTCCCACTGACAAGTTCAACTCCATCCCTAATCTCTCTCCTGTATTTAATCCTTTACACCAGTGGTTCTCAACCTGTGGGTCGTGACCCCTTTGGCAGTCAAACGACCCCTGTGCCTAAGACCATCCTGCATATCAGATATTTACATTATGATTCATAACAGTAGCAACATGACAGTTATGAAGTAGCAATGACAATAATTTTATGGTTGGGTCACAACATGAGGAACTGTATTTAAAGGGCCAGAAGGTTGAGAACCACTGCTCTACACTGTGCTTCTGCTGGACCTGATGATGAAGTAAGTAAAGCACCAGGACAGGAGAGAAAGTGCCTGCCTGAGGGAATACCCCACACCTGGAACTAAAGGTGAGGCAAGCTCAGCAATATCCAGTCCCTTTCTGTTACCTAGAGCAGCGGTCACCAACCGCTGGGTGGTGAGGTCTGAAAGGTTGGCGACCGCTGACCGAGAACCGTCTTAGGACTAGGAAACCGGAGATAAATCAGGACCAGTGCTGCCTCACCTGGCCTAGAGGAGCCACAGGTGGCCTCCTTCCGCCTGTCTTTATCAACCCGGCAAATGTGCCTTCACTTAAACTCTTCCGTTGATCCTCTTAAAGTTTTACTGTATTTTCAAACTTCTTAAAAACTGCTCCACCCAGTGAACCTTCTCCTTCTATTTACTGCTTTATTTTCCTTTTTCCTTTCATAGGTATGAATCAGTTTACATTTCACAATTATAAAAAAGGCCAGTCATTTAATAGCCAAATGTGCTCTTTATCTTAAATATTATACTTTAAAGGAAAAAAAACACCCTTAAAGCTAATGCTGACAATTCATTAAGAGGTCAATTAAAAATTAGGTAGAAAAATGTACTAAAAATACTAGATACTAATTCTGTCAAAACAAGATTAGGCACCAAAGGTCACTGCATGAAAGTATTGAGGGATTTCAGACAGAAATATCAGTTAGCATTTCCCATTATTCTCCACCAGTTAAAAGAAATATTTTTAAAAAATGACATTAAATGCCACCCTGAAGGGTAGGCATCGGGATTGGGGATCGAGCTGGTGACGGTGGGGGTCATAGTGTGGGAGCTGGTTGAGGGTGTGGAGCTCACGTTTGGCTTCCCGTGGGGGCCTAGCTCAGACCGTGACGATCTCACCTAGTTACCCTTAGCCCATGTGTGCCCGACGCTCAGCCTTATTCCTTCTAATCCGGAGCAGTACTTCAAACCCCAATGTTACTTCAAACCCAGCTGAAACCCACCCAGCCTCCTCCAGCAAGAGGGAGCGCAGCCAGATCTTGGTGTGGCATAAAGCCCCACAGGTGGTCAGGAAAGCCAGGCCCTGAGGAAGTGGAGTTTTCACTGGGCGCTGAAGGATGTATAGGCGTTGTCTAGGCCAGGGCTAGATGGGCAGGAGTGTGAGACATTGCCTCTCCAGGGAGGCCCTAAGGGACAATGGAGCAAGGTGACTGTGCTGACGGACAGAGATGACAACAAAACACGAAGTCAGAAAGACAGGCAGGGAGGCAAGGAGCGGTAAGAGGTAAACTGCATTAGAAAAGATCACTGTGCTGCCAACGGGCACAGGAGTCCGAGTGGATGAGGGAGACCAGGAGAAAGTTCCACAATAAGCAAGGGAGGTAACAACACTCATCAATAACTCGGGGTTGATGGAGGGATGGGGGGCAGCAGGCAGAGTTGAGTGGAATTTAAAACATAAAGGAAGGGATAAGGGGCGCTGGATAGACAGCTGCTGGTTTTTGGGGGGAATTCTGCAGAGTCAGCTGTTGAGTCTGTTTTTGGTTCAGGTCACTGTGAGATACTGGTTGTCAAGGAGCAACGGCCTGTGGACCTGAGAGGGGCCTGGCTCGCAGTTCCTTCCTTAAGGAAAGTGAGGGTGGTGGGCAGAGGCCTCAGGCGGCATCATGCTTGGGCAGCAACATTAAGAAGCACGATGTGTATTACGTGTAATAGGTGATATAAGAAACTGAGAAAAAGGGCTGAATAAAGTGAGACAGGATGGCTTTGTTTCCCGTCCTTATGTGACAAACTATTGGAGTTACACTCACAGGTATCTGTATATGCTATCACTGCCTTGCAAATGCTCTCTACTTTTTTTTCAAAATAGTTTTAATTTACTTGATAATGTAAGTTCCAAAATTAGATACCCAGCTGGTACTAAATCACAAAGCAATTTTCTTGTAAATATATTGAGAAGCAAAAAACCCATATAGACCCTTTCTCTCCCTTTATAATGGTTCTTGGTATTTTTGATTGACCTTCTATATAAATTAACTCAATTTCACAATTTTCATATTTTTACATTACTTTGAAAAAACATAAAATATATTACCCTCAAAATTATATAGTGTCTTATTAGCCAAAAATGTGAAGGCCGCTTTGTTTAAATGATTGCTAAAATACTAAAACTAAAAATCAAGTTAACAGTTGAGTGGTCTGAATAGACGGATATGCTGAATTTTTAACTTTGCTGACTTTGTAAAAGTGTTAATACAAATCAAACACCAAATAGTCCTTACTGAAAAAAAGCAAGAAAATTCCAGGCAGTGTTTGTTAGTGGACAATTATGCCTGTTTTATAGATTTTGTTCCCTTGCGTAACTATGGTCCTAGACTTATTTTTCCATTTTAACTAGTTGTTGAAATGCATTTATAACCTCTTATTTCAGTTTGTTACATACCAGTGCGCAATGTCCTTGTGAGCTACTAAATTTTGAAGAAATGCTTGCAATCCTAACTTTCTATCTTCTAAAAAGTCGGCATTGTAATTATCTTTAAACCAGCGTTTTGGTGGAAGTGCTAATCGAAAGCCTGGAAACATCTCTTTTAACTGAAAAAGAAGAGAAAAGAACATATATTGGTCAACTTTGTTATGCCAAGTCTACAAATCTCTCCTGTTGACTAGGTACAACTGCTCATGAAATAAGCTTAAAATAGAACTGAATCCAGCAAAGCTTTCTGCACCTTGTTTTGCTTCTTGACTTTTCCCAGTTGTGTACACACAGGAGTTACAGTTGCTCCACCTCCTTGTCAACACTTGCATTGTCTGTCTTTTCAATGTTGGCCATTCTAGTGGGTGTGAAGTAGCTTTCACCTTGGCTTTAATTTGGATGGCTCTGTTGACAAATGGTGCTTATTTGCATCTGCATATCTTCTTTGGGGAATTATATATTAAACACTTTAGACCCTTCACTTTTTAGAAAAAAAATTAGTTATTTGTATTTTTGTTAAATTGTAAGAGTTCTTTTTATACTCCAGATATAAGTCCTTTCGCATATGTATGACAAATATTTTCTCCCAGATTGTGACCCATTTTAACACTCTTCACAGAGCATATATTTAAAATTTTAATGTTATTGAATTCACCCACTTTTGTCTTTTATGGGTCATGCTTTTTTAGATCCCAAGAAATCTTTGCTCACTCGAAGGTTGCAAGGATATTCTTGTATGTTTTCTCCTGGACATTTATAGTTTTAGCTTCTACATTTTGGTTTATGATCCATTTTGCATGTTTGGCTTAAATTTTACTTTCTTAGGGCGAGATTTTTCCAACCTGCTAAGCTGTGTTAGATTTGCCTTTATACACTCTGTTCAAGTAACTAGCTGTGTAACAAGTCACCTCAAAACACAGTGACTTAGAGAACCATTTATTAGGCCATGGACTCTGTGGGCACAGTGAGGCTGGCTTATCTCTGTCCCACAACGAGCTGGGAACTCAGCTGGAAGATCTGAAGGTGGGAACTGGAATCACCTGAAGTTCATGCCCACATGTGTAGAAAATGAGGCTGGCTGCTGGCTGAGACCTTAGCTGTGGTATCAGCCACAACCTTAACATGGAACGTCTTGGTCTTTCTCACAGCATAGAGGCTGGGCTTCAAGGGGGAACATCCCAAGACAGGAAGTCAGGATGAAGCTGTGTACTCTGTATGACCTGGCCTCTGTCCTTTACTGGCTGAGTAGCCCAAGGTCACCCAGGTTCAAGGGGGAGGGGACATAGATTCAAGCCCTTGATGGTCAGTGGCAAGATTCTGGAAGAACATATGAGACTGAAAGCATTGCTGTGAACATTTTTAGAAAAGACAACCTACTACAAATTCAAAAATCACCACCTTATTTTTAAATGACATTTATCACAATGTAAATAACGTTTATTTAATTTTGGACTCTCCTCAACTAGTGATTCTAAACCTTGGCTGCACACTGGAATCACCCAAGGAGCTGTGAAAGACATTAATGACTACATCCTACCTCTGACAGGTTTGCATTTAATTAGCTGGGGTGTGGCCTGGGAACTAATTTTGAGAAGCTTTCCAGGGGAGTCCAAAGGACAGCTGAGGTGCCCTAACCGGTTTGGCTCAGTGGATAGAGTGTTGGCCTGAGGACTGAAGGGTCCCAGGTTTGATTCAAGGTCATGTAGCTTGGTTGCGGGCACACCCCCAGTAGGGGGTGTGCAGGAGGCAGGTGATCGATGTTTCTCTCTCATCGATGTGTCTAACACTCTATTCCTCTCCCTTCCTCTCTGTAAAAGATCAATAAAATATATTTTTTTAAAAAAGGACAGCTGAGGTTGAAAGCCATGTGACTGCTCCGCGATGATTCTGTCGTACTCACTGCTGCGTCCCTCGTGCCAGCAGGGTGCCTGCTGTGCTGTAAGCAGTCAGTAGTCTGTGTTCTATAAGCGCATGAACTAAATAAAACCATGTACACTCACCTTTCTGTTCTTAAATGTAAAACTGAATGCCACAAGGTAAGGAAAAGGACTGACCAAAGGGAAAAATCCACAGCATAAAATGCTAAATCATGTTTTGTCTATATTTCTATAAATATGTGAAGATAAAACAAAGAAGCAAAAACTAGAAAGCAACTTGGACTACTGAAAACCTTGATTTGATTTCAAGATGTAGTTAGATATTTTTGGTCTTAGAATTTTATTATTTAACTAGAGGCCTGGTGCACAAAAATTTGTGCACTCGGTGGGGAGGGAGGACCCTCAGCCCAGCCGGTGCCCTCTCGCAGTCTGGGACCCCTCAGGAGATAATGACCTGCTGGCTTAGGCCTGGTCCAGGGTGGCAGAGGGTAGGCCCAATCCCTAGGTGCATCCCCTGGTCGGGCTCAGAGCAGGGCCGATTGGGGAGTTGGGGCGCTGGGGCGCCTTCCCCTGCC